GTTTTTTGGTTTTTTATTTACCACTACCCATTCCTCTTTATTCAAGCAATGACCACAAACTTTTAAAGGTTAGTGATAGAGTATCCCAAAATAGAAGCTATTTACTTCTTTGGCCATGAAGCTACACAGCTCCACCCAGCAGCTGGGAGGGAGGCTTAGTGAGGGAGGGAGGAAGTTGTTATTATAAAGATTTACCCACATTCTATTCCTGGTCTGCCTCTGACAGCCCCACAATCACCATGCTGTTTGCACCTGTGCAAAATATGGGCATAATGATCAGACTTTGGAGTAAAAGAGCAACTTGTTTATATATTACACTTTTGTGCTTTAATTAAAGACATGATCAAGCTAGCATTAGGGGAAAACACACATAACTACAACACAAATTTGAGAGCAGGCCAATTCATTTCTAAAAATGTTTCAGTGACAAAACACAAGATGCTGGAAAGTGCCCTCCCGCCATCAGTCCCACACAGACGTGAGGACACTTCAGAAAGTTTGAGGCAAGGGGACTGGGGGCCGGAAGTAGAATTTCCCCGGCAAACTTTTGGAAACCCTCTCATACGTACATAAGCACACATACACATATCATCTGTGGGTACTGTTTTCCCACCAAGACAGTTTCACTAAATGATTCTAGCAGTTTTGCTAAAGAGCCTGCTGTGGATTAGGTTAGAGTTTTGGTCATCGTTTTACCCATGCAGTTGGTCCTGAAAGGGAAGGCATAAAAGAGCCTTTGTTCAGGCCAAAGCAGAACCTGTTGATGTCCAGTTGAGTTAGACTCGTGGCCACCCTACAGGACCGAGCAGAACTACCCAGTAGCGTTTCCAAGACTGTCACCTCCATGGAAGCAGACCGCTACCACCTCGTTATCCTACCAGCTACTGATGGACTCAACCACTGCACCACTGCTTTAGTCTCTTTTTTCCACTTTAGTCATTAATGAGAACGGGGAAAATGATTATTTTTAACCTTCCTAATGAGTTTCTCTAGGTCTTTTTAAAAGCTCATAGCCATCAAGTCAATTCTGACTCGTAGCAACCCTGTAGGACCAGAACAGCCCCTGTGAGTTTCTGAAACTGTAATTATTTATGGGAGTATAAAGCCCTTTCTGCCATAGAGCAGCAGGTGGTTTCAAACTGCTGGTGTATGGTTAAGCAACCCAATGGGTTGCCATTACACTTTTCTGTAGGTTGATGTACTTCAAATTTTATAG